TTAATGAAAGTAAGAATTTTCGCTTTTGTTCAACAGACAGTGGCACATTGCCGAACACAGCTCACGCTTACCATGAATTATGAAGAGATCAAGAATGCATGAAATAATCCATCGCGTACTAAAATCCATCAGAAACGAATTAATCACTGTAGTAAATAAAAAAATGACTGGCCCGAATAAGCGGTGGATGAAAGGTATGTTTGAGAGCTTGCTCTTTGAAAAAATTCAAAGCAAGTACCTTAGCTTGAGGACAGCAGCCTGGAGCCAGCCCTATTGATTGTCTTTTTAGCCGTACCAGCAGAAAATGCTTAAGACTACACTTTCAATATTTAGACCAAAAAAGGAACTTATTTCCTTTCGTACCTGCCCTTAAAAGGGGCGCACTTTTACCCTGACATTTTTATTAGTTACAGTTTATTGCATAGCTTTTTATTTATGCAGTAGCCACTCTTTCATTTACTTTGACCAGCGAAACCTCACTTGACGATCAGCTTGCTGGCACTAAGTGGTGCATCGTATTTTTTTTCCCCAGCTGATTCCTCGCAGAAAATGAGTGATATGCAGCATTTATTCCTTGTTATACTGACACGTATTTAGCACTCAAATTTGTTTCAAATGGTTTTTCACGGCTTTTTTTTCGAAAATTCATCAAAAATAGTTCCACAGTAGTTAAAGTTTTCAAGCAGTGTTTATAGCATTAAATAAAGAATCGCCCAATCGAAGAATTCTTCAACTACCACAATTTTTAAGCTTAGCTAAGAAATACTGGTTTTGAATTGCAAAACCCCATCATCGAATAACAAAATTCGTTTGCCTTTCAATCGCTGCTATTTGAAAATTTTTTTGCCTATAATGTTTATTGCTATTAAGAAAAGCTAATATAGTCCAAATAAAAAAATTAATGAGGGAGGCGTGGGGAAGGGGATGAATGTACGACTGTGGCTAAGAGCCCGACTATTTACATATTTACAAAGAGACATTCCATTCGCTCCTCAGTTCTTTTCGTCACAGCCAGCGTTCGTTCTTTTACTTCCGTCAGGTGATCGCTTAGGAACCTCGCCACTGACGGAAGCAGGAAACTGTCTTCGACGGTATTTCACAGAACTTTCCAAAGTCGTCCTTCTTGTATCCTGAGTATTTTTAGTCTCTGGTCTGCTAATTTATTACTGAAGCAAGAGTTTCTAGCTTTTTCCAGCGCACGCAGTGAGTGGGCGAAAAAGACAAGTTTTATTTGCATCTGTTTTCAGTAAAGTTTCAAAGTAGTAAGGTTTTAATCTTCGAGACTGGGGCTTTGGTAATTTGCCTTAGAATTTCTAAAATAAATGATTTTGCTTGTAACTTCCGAATTTGATTGGTGATGTAAAGCTTAAGCAGTTCACATTAAATTTGCCTCACTGCGTTTCCAGCACTGCGGCATCCTCTTATCTCTGACTGTGCGCCTTATGAGTTCCTATTCCTCAAGACGCCAAATGTGAGTACATACGTCAACGGTTTTGTATAAAAAGCATATATCACACAGACAATCTTGGGTATGCTTGATGTTGACGACGTAGGTAATGTGCTAGAACCGTAATATATTAAATGGGATATGCTGTATTGCATTTTTTGTTGCACACATGTTTTTGTAGTTCTGCACTGCTTTGAAAAGTACGAGGCAATTTCAAATTTCATGTGTGCACATAGCGCTAACTATCATGTCCTTATCGCGTGCAGGACGTGAACTTTTGTAAGTTTCAAATATATTAGAAGGGGACCTAAAATTAAATTTTTTCGTGCCCATGCAGCTGATGTGCCTGCAAAATTTGGCAAACACGCACACAAACAAACACGTGCAAACACAAATAGACACACGCTAACAAACGCACACACACATACACACAGACACACACACACACACACACGCAACAAGGTGCCATCAGATTCTTTATCAGCTGCTTAAACGCAAAAAACTAATTCAAAATTTGCAAAAAAAACTAGACATGACGCTAATCAAGCCAATGATGTGGCCCCTTACGCTGTGTTCAGGATGCATTTAACTACACAGATTATAAGCTACGAGTATTGTTGCGTTGCATTACATTTGTTCTTATCACTTTCCACATACCTACTAAGGTGAAAATAGTAGCAGGCAGGTGGTGCAAAATCAGGCGAGCAAGCGAAAGGAGTTGGTGCCAGCCGATCCAGAAATGCGACTAAGATGCTTTCGAGCCATTCTGATTGGATGTCTACTATTGCTGCTTTTCGCTTCCAATGATGCGGTGCTGGGAGTTCGTGAGCCAAAAGCTGCACCACCTGGCACTTCATCGCTGACATTTGTATTTGATACAACCGGATCGATGAACGATGACCTCATACAAGTGCAGGATGGTGCCCGAAAAATTCTGGATACCGTATTAACTCAACGTGAAAAACTCATCTACAATTATATCTATGTACCATTTCATGATCCAAGTAAGTCAAACTGACAATGTTTGAAGTGTTTTTCTTCGAATATTCGACCTCTGACTTGTGATCAGTATGGTACTTGATTTGACGTTTGACTCAGTTTTTTCTCTCCCCAGCTCAATTTTGCTCTATTTGACAAAGTTTGGCACTTTCTTAGACAAATTTTGCTTTTTTTTACAGGCAAATTCGTCAGTTCGAGCACTTCTGTACTCAGTTTATCGCATCTTTGCACTCTTTTGAATAATTTTAGCAGCCCAAAACAAATTATCATTAATCCGTTTCTTAATATTACTGCTTTTCCGGATAATTCCGCCTCAATCCATTTTTGATCGGTATACTTACTATCTGGAGATACGCTATGCCGGCATTTAAATGCAGCCCAACACAAAATACATTATCCGTATACAGATTCTCAGAGCAATTTTGATAAATTCGAAGGAGTTGAGTGCTAAAGTTTTACGCTTTCTAAAAAAGAATTCGTCCTTATATTTGCTGAAAGAAAAAAATTTAAACAGGCGCCAAATTCTAGGAGTTGGGCCCGTATTTACGACAACCGATTCAAGTGCATTCCAAAGGCATCTAAGCTCAGTACATGTGGTTGGCGGCGGCGATTGCCCCGAAATGACGCTTAGCGGTTAGTTGTTTTTTTGAAAAAGAATTTTAAACTGCAGGCGTACGGGATAAGAAGGTAGCGATTTTATTGATTAATCGTTGTAAAAGAATATAGAGAAGAGTGTTTATTACGAAAAACCCGCTTAAACAGCTGGGTGAATTATGTGGATGAGAGAGGCGCAAATTAGAGAATGGAGAAGTTGCCAGCTGTATCAGTAGCACAAGAAAACTCAACGATGAAACAGGAAGCTGTCAAAATATCAAAGTGAAAGTAACAGCTGGGCAGTGTGAATTTGGAGGTGTGCTGTGTTGCTTTTAATAATATGAGCTGCACTTTGACTAGCTAAAACTCATGAGTGGTTTTGATTTGATCATTAACACTTTGGCTTACACTTCAAATTAGCACTTCTTAGACGCAAAGCTAACGCTACAGGAATTAGCATTTTGCCAATTCATTCAAATACGCGTAAGCAAAATGCTAATGTTAATACACTAGGGAATGAAATCAGCCTCGCTTATTATTTTCCGTCCTTATTATCCTTATTTTCCGCAAGCAATAAGGAATAAGGACCGGTGCAACTTCGAAAGACAAAACCGTAAATACTCTTGTCGGGCGACAACAGAGGTACTGTTTCTTATTCGGTAGTCTGATGTATCCAAAAAAAAA